ACACTTACTGTGATATGAGATAAGTAGTTAATTCTTCACTACCCGTATGTCAAAGATACTCAACTATGTAACTCTTGTTTTCATTTACTACGTTTTATTATGTGCAACGTTTTTTTCAATAAATTATTTATATTATTATAATTAGTTATTTTTATTTTCCCTAGTTTTAAACCCGGGTAAAGTCTCCCTTCTTGGCGGGTCAAGTCTCCCACCCAGGCGGGATATATTAGCCAAATCTCATTTCGATAAAAATCGTTAGTTACTCATAAAGTATTAATGATTCAAAAAACTTTCTTTGGAAAAAATAAAGCTTAATAATGCAGCTTAGTGTACAATTTGTAGAAAATTGTGTTTTGTAAATATTAAGTGATTTATGAGCATTTTAATCGAAGGTGGATAAACTCTCCCGGACTCCCCCTACTCTAAATGCTACTTTAGCAGCTACGATAGGGGTTGTATAGTTTTGACATTGGATAATTATTGAGATTTTATTGGATTGAAATTGCATTGACATTGAGATTGGTTTCAAGAGTACCCTGATCTATCTGAACTACCGAAAACTACATCATACAAAATGGTCCTATTTGCAGACGACATTACAGTCATAATAAAGTAAATATAAACTTGACTATGAAAATTAGTTTAATAAATGTTTATGTGGTAAGTTGATATTTTGGTACCTACCTAATTAACTTGAACAAAACAAAGGTTATGCACTTTCATCAGCGTCGTCACTCGTCATTAAGAAAATATTAAAATCGCGTATGAAAACCATTGTATCGAGCAAGCAAATAAAGCTTGATAAATAATAAAGCTTCTTGGGTATACTTAGTCATTGACGACATCCTCAGCTGGAAGCCTCATGTTGAGGAGTTATGTAAAAGGTTCAGTAAATCCGCTTACGCGCTTTTCCAACTTTCAAAAAACGTAAACTTTCAGGCTCTTCTTGCAGCATACCATGGACTCGTTGCCTCGGTATTACGCAATGGCATTATTTTCTGGAGGCAGTCTACAGATAGAGAGCTTGTGTTTAGAATGCAAAAAAGATGTTCAAGGTCAATGTGTGGTCCGAAGACCACATACAGCTGAACTACACACTTCAAATCACTAAAAATATTAACATTGCCCTCCATGTATATACTGGAAACTGCTGTATTTGTAAAACAAAATCCTCACTTATTTCCAAAATTGAGCTCTGTCAGGAATGTTCCCATACGCAACCAATATTTTAAAAAACTAAGCCAAGTAAATTGTAAAACAACACTTCTGTACAAAAATTTGTTTGGTAATATGCCCCTAAACTTTATAATAAGATTGACAATGAAATAAAAAATACTACAGTAATTAGATTTAAAAGTATTCTTAATAAACGATTGTTAAACAAATGCTGTTATTCAATTGAAGAATTCCTGATAATATTTGTTGACAATTTCAATTGACATAATTTTGACATACTTAATTTTTATTATTTTATTATTATTGTACAAAATTTATTTCAAATTGTAATATTCTAATAAAATTTCTAATGTACGTACCTAATATATTTGTATGTCTATTACGGCATAACATAGTGGACCATCTTTATATGTAAACTACGTATGTTTAACAAATAAATGATTCTGATTGTGAAGTGAATATACTAGTATGGGATAACGTTTAAAAAAATATATACTTACAGTTACAGAGCGATTTCATATTGTAGCTTTGTCAATAGTTTGCGCTCGGGGTTAAGGAATTAGTCAGTCAGGACGTACCTACTATTTTATGAGTATAGGTAAATGAAAAGTATGTAGGTAACAACAAAAGACAAATTCATTAATCATTTATTTATTAGTTAGAGATTAATTAGAGATTAAGTTATTTACCGAAAAGGTCGGCTGTTGGGCCAAGAATTGGGTTTGGAGGAAACATCCCACTATTGCCTAAACCGCTTAAGTAGCCAACGGGATTTAACCCAGTATTGGCAGTGCCTTCATTAAAAGCACCGCCAGCACCGGCAGTACTATAGGTACCGCTTGTGGCTGTAGCGCCAATGCCTGAATTGCCCAATCCATTACCGAAACCAAAATAGTGGTCGTCATTATTTTTCATACCGTTGTTACAACCACAGTTGCAGCCTCTGCTACAACCACAGTTACAACATGGTTGGCAGTTACATACTGGTTTAGGTTTAGGCATCATGCAATCATAACATGGTCTAGGTGGTCGTGGAGGTGGCGGCGGTGGTGGGGGAGGCGGTGGTGGTGTCGGTCGTGGTGTCGGTCGTGGCTTTACACACATTCCACAAACAATGGGTTTAGGTGTAGTCGATTCCGGAACTTTACACGCATCACAAGACGATATTACAGTTATGATTTTTTTCGGGGGACGTTTACAGCTAGCGACGGTGTCACATAGGCCCTTACCGTCAAAACCAAAATATCCCCCACTTTTGCTAGCAGTTTGCATAGTCGGAGAAACGTAGTCGTTCGCAGTGCTTTCTTCGATATTGCCTACGGAGGTAAACAAGGGCTCAGCGTTATCAGCCCCACGACTAGAAACTTGTGTGTCTTTAGTATTATTGTTGTCATTGAAAACATCTGATAAAACGCTATTCGTTAAATCATTATTTGAAACGTTTGTAACATCAGTATCACCGAAATTTTCGAATTCTGAGGCCAGCATATTATAATCTAAATTTGTGTTCTCAATATTAAGACCACTTTGTCCATCTTTAGGAGGTTCAGACCCATATATATTCTTATTAGCTTCATCGTAATATTTATGATCTGAAGAAATCCAATTTACGGGTGGCAAGGTTTCAGCGTGCTTAATTTTGTCTAAAAGTTGTAATTCGTCTTGACTTGAAACAGTCTTATGCCTTGTAGCATCCGCATATGGTGGATCATTCATATTACTATCATATCCAAATTTAGAAAATATTGTTGGGTATTGATATCTTCGCGATCTATAAGCTTGATCAAGGTCAGTCATGTAGAGTTTGTTAGGTTGTCCATTATAGCCTTCACCGGTAAGAGAGCCATCTTGTCCAAGAAAAGCTCTTCGGGGTTGTCTCAAATCAGTCTCGGCATATGTTTTATCAAGCCTTATAGGACCTGCATTATTTCTTCTATTTAATCGAGGGTCGTTTGTGAACAGCGAATCTCCTCTCCCCTTGAACACTCCATTTGCTCGACATGATACGAATAAAGCAAATAGAAAATGCTGAAACAAAAAGTTCGAAATGGCTTTCATTAAATTATATGTCAGGTAAAGCAATAAGTATGAAATGCTACAGCCGTTGGAACAAGGCGAACAAACAAACAATGTAATATGTCCATAAAAAACATTGTTTTTTTTTAATGGAATTGGATGTAAATGAGCAGACGGATTCTGGTGGTTGGCGATCAGCGCCGCCCATGGACACCCGCAACACCAGAGGAGTAACAGGTGCGTTGCCGGCCTTTTAAAAAGGAATACGATCTTTAGAAATACCGCCGACGACAGATCGTTCTACAGATTTGCTGTGCGAAGCAGAAAGCTACGTGAGAAGCACACAGTTGTGGCCTGCCAATCATCTATATGATGGGGATGCGTATGCTGTCAGGTATCAGGTCAAACAATTCCTTAGAGCACTCCTCGTGGTATAAACGATAGAAAATATACAACGAAGCTACATCTCTATGCATTGCCAAAGAGTCTAGCCGGTTTGACACATCCCGACATCCAACAATCCGAACGGCACGCCGCTAAACGCTGTCCAGAGGTAGAAGCTGATACTGGGGTGGTGGTGTCCCCCCAGATGAGAACAGTATTCCATGTGGGGCCGAAACTGCGACATATATATAAGTAGGCAGTGGACCGGGGTGAAATACTGCCTCGATCTATTGAGCACACCAAGCTTCCTCGAGGTTAATTTGGCCTTATCCTCTAGATGACCGCCGAACTGGACGTCGCTCAAAATGTTGACACCAAGTATTCCAATACCGGCTGAAGCAGTTAGGGGGGTGCTTTGAAACTCAGGAGGGATGAACAACGGCAGTTTCTTAGCGGTAAACACGCAGACCTGTGCCATAGTGGGGTGTTAAACTGGACCAAATTAAGTCCACCCCAATCAGATATTCTCCATAAAGAAATTTCAATTTCAGACACGAGTCTGTTTCGGCTGTCTAAATAACGGGTAGAACCATATTTTTTCTTTCGTTTGTTATCCATATTGGAGGCAGTAGTGAAAAAAAATATTATATTGTCTGGTCATCAAGATAAAGAGTATGCACCAAATATCAGATCAATATTTCCTCAGAAACGGGGTAATGATCCAATTACTTACTAAACAAGTACTATTCAAGTATATTCATTGCATTCTCACTGGATAAATACAGGCTGGCGTTAGGGAATACAATTTTAAGTACCTAACAATTACCTTTGAATTAAACAAACAAAATAGTAAATCTAAATAAAACTGTTTAATTTTTTATGTAAGTACTTATATTATCTCTTAAATCACGACGTTTTACTTAATAATACGACAAATAAGATTTTTTAAGGGGGAAGTCATCGAATGACTTCTCTCGCCTGGGTGAGGCGGAAGGGAGTGTCAGACTCTTACTGACTAAAAACTATACCGTTCCTTCTCCTGCATTTCGAGCCGGAGCCCCGGTAATCCATTAGGTTCTCCGCGACACGAGTAGGATTTCGAACCACTTTCAATTAAACTTTAATAATATAAAGTGTGCGCATTTCGTAACTAGTAGGTAGATAAAACCATTTCGTATCTACATCTCAGTTGACGACAAAAAATAAGACCAGGGGTTTACTCTTAAATCCAATTCCGATCGATCGACATTAGTATGACGTGAAATTTCGTACTCTCGAGTTGCAATACTTGCGCCCATTGCATCCGTATTGCGTAAATATTAAATGAACTAAATGGTATTGAGTTTGGCTTTATATTCCGTACTCTGAATGCTATTTTAATAGGATAGGGGTTGTATAGTTTTGACATTGAATAATTATTGAGATTTTATTGGATTGCAATCGCATTAATATTGAGATTGGTTTCAAGAGTAAGCACCCTGTTATTTGTTATTCAAAAATAAACATAGTTTTTTTTATTAAATTTACATTTAGGTACCAATAAAAAAACAATACGGATTTTTTTTTCTTAAGTCCAAATAGCACCAGATGATCGGCAAGGTTACAACAGCTATCGGAAAATATAAAAAAAATCTAAAAGGTATTTTTCTTACGTGTATAACTTTATCGAGGGATTAATTTTGAATTTTTGAGTTTTACCATATATTAAAAAAGTTTCAATCTATTCTATTAAATAAAAGCTTATACAACAACTGCATAAGCAGAATCAGACTGGAAACAACTGGCGATCCGCTCTCGCCACTAGTTTTCATAGCAGCCGTAGAATCAATAATAAGTGAACTTGACTGGAAAAAACGCGGCATTCCCATCGAAAAGAGTTATCTAAATCACCCTTGTTGACAGACGACCTAGTCCTGATGTCATAAAATGGTACAGAGTCACAGTACATGTCAGTACATGTCATGTACATTGTCTTTAAACAATGCAAGTAAGAGTGCAGGATTACAGATGAATCTTTTGATCACCACGATAATTACCAAAAATACCAAAATACCAATACTTGTAGACTGCGAGCCACTAAAATACACCTTTCTTGGCAAACAAATAAACTTTGATGGTTCATATAATTTACCCAGGAAATGGAGCGCAGGGCACAAAAAACGTGGAACAAATACTGGAGCCTAAAAGAAATATTTAAGACCAAAATATCCTATCAAACTGAAAAACAAAATGATGAACTCCTGCCTTATCCCTTGCCAGACACGGAAATTTAATAAACATGCTTATTTAAAATAAAATTATAACATGACAACGCGGGATGGAGTATGTTAAATATCAAAAAAATAGGACATATAGAAACCAGAAATACCACCAAAGCAACAGACGGTTGGCACAAGCTCATAGAGCTTCTTCCGACCGACTTCTCATTTCAGTGATAGCACTGATTGAAATTAGAAGTCTGTAAAAATGGGTCGAATACATATCACGCCTTTAAGACCAATATTAATTTATTTTAAGTTTAATGTAGTATTACAAAACTAAATGGAAACAAAGTATTAGGCGGATAATTCTAACGCATGTGTTTATGTGCCGCGCCACTATAAGCATTTATTTCTAAAATGCGGCCGAGTTACTATTCTGTATGATAATCATTCAATGCTTCTACGTAGTTACTTTAGTATAATTATAATAATATATTATAATATAGACAATATGTTACATTACCAAGTATATTTTCATTATCGTGTCCGGATCCTTGCCAAGTTTTAATACATAATGGTCAACCGGGCAAATGTCGGCTGACTTTAATAAGGCGACATTATGTCTAATTTGAACACTTCTACACGAACGATTATTTGTCACGGTTCCCCAACAAATAATTACTTCATTTACAAGTGATAAGGGCTGATTATTCCGATGTTTTTCCATCAAAACATAACTGAAAACATTAAATGACTTGAAGAAGTTTGTTTTGTCGGTCGGTCTGTGAGCTAGCGACTGATGTTAGCCGATTTGACACATCGTATGTGTTATAAGTATCAATGTAAGAAAGAAAGTAAAAACGTCGACTAACGGCGAGCCTCAATAACCTACCTTTATACAGTTTTGTTCCAAATATCTGTTTTTAATAGTTTTTATGGAAATAAGCCAGTAAACGAGCAGACGGATCAACTGAAGGCAAGCAATCGTCGCCATGGACATCTGAAACACCAGAGCCATTAAAAGTTCGTTGACGAATTGTTGGGGATTAGAAATTTGAGGATTTTTGGGAATTCGTGGATTGGAGACATTGGGGAGGGGAGTAATTGGACCCCGGTAACCTCACTCACACGACAAACCATAACGCAAGCGTTGTTTCACGGCCGTTTTTTATGGGGCCGTGGTATCACTCCGGTCGAGTCGGCCCGTTTATGTCGAAGTACAGCTCTCCAACACTTAAAAATATGTAGCTTCTAGCAAGTCTATATACTTACTTGTACAGGTAAATCTATAGATAAATAGGTTTATAAGACTGAGCGTTCATCACACCTTACCGATTCGTTTATGGGGTTTGATGTATTATGGAGCAGTTCTGTACGGCCTAGTAGCACCCGTTCAGCAGCAACCTAAGACCAAGGTGTAGTACATTACATGAATGGACATTCAATGAAGACAGCTCAACTACGGCGCTCCAACTGCTCTACATGACAAGAATTCATGAGACGGGATAACTATGTGTTCTCAACTGACTCCTGCAAGTACTACATCATGGGACTCTACGGCGAGTGTGGACGCCGCTAAGGCACCTACCATCTCGAAGAAGGTGCGATTTAGGTACTATCCGGCTCGAAAGACCGAATGTTCGGGGCTAGTAGCACCCGTTCAGCAGATGTCAGGTAGATCGGCGGGCGATTTGGGGATTGTAGTCAAAAACACTCGAATAATTTGCATGCCAAAATAAAAAAATAAATTTCCTCATCGCTATCGTGAGGTAGGGTGCCCAAAAGTACTGGCATCATTGCCACGTTGAATGGCAATGCTTGACCTTTGCCCAAGGTAGTAGCCAGCCCTTCGATCACCTGAAGTGTCAACCATCCTCCTTACAATATCTTTGTAAAGATTTACAAAGATTTGTTTACACTGATTAATATAAAATAACATTCGAATAATTAAAAAAAGGTTGTCAAAGTGTCAAAGAAAATGTACAGTGCTAGCTTGTACAAGTTCCATGTACATACATGTTCCTACTGTCATAAGTATTCATTCGTATGTACCATAATCTAAATATCGTAATCCATCTTAATCACCAGCCATTACTGATGTTGATTATAGTCAAGAGTAAGTTGGAAGTTAATTCATGCAGGGACCTGTCGCTAGTTACTTTCGCTCACAGTTAGGGTTGCCACCTTTTATTTTGGTATTTACCTAAAGTACATTGACGATTATAGGTAAGTAAAAAAAGTACATAGTACAAAAATAAAGTACAATTTATTCTTATTTAGTATTATATTTAAAAATATATTTATAGTGCTTTTTGCAGTTTGTATTAAATTAGTATCTTTACTAAACAATTGCATCTTTACTAGAAATTGCCTAAGTGGCGCTGGCGAGTGGCGAAATCGACTCAACATAAATCGATAAAATCGATAAGTTTACCGAAAAATTCTTACGACTTTAACTCGTCGAGTACCGTGTTGGAGTTACTTTATTATTCTTATAAAGTTTACTAGGGTTGCCACCTTTTATTTTGGTATTTAAAGTACATTGACGATTATAGGTAAGAAAAAAAAGTACATAGTACAAAAATAAAGTACAATTTGTTCTTATTTAGTATTATATTTAAAAATATGTTTTTATTGCTTTTTGCAGTTTGTATTAAATTAGTATATTTACTAAACAATTGCATCTTTACTAGAAATTGTCTAAGTGGCGCTGGCGAGTGGCGAAATCGATTCAACATAAATCGATAAATATCGATATGGAATCGATAAGTTTACCGAAAAATACTTACGACTTTAATAGAAATGAAGTTTGCAAAAATAAAGTATTTTTGTGTACTTTATTATTCTTATAAAGTATAGAGTACAATTGTACTGTACTTTAGTAGTATTGTAGTATTGTACGTTACTTAAGATAATTACCTTAAGTAACGTACAATACTTTATTATAAAGTACGGGTGGGAACCCTACTCACAGTGCACTCGAATCGAATGAAGATGAAAGGTCGAATGCACATTCTGTCGATTTTCAAATATCGCGCTTAAACTTGGTCCTTGAAAAAATTAGAAGGATATCCTAATCCAGTGTTCCCAGCGATCTATGGATCAAGATCAGCCTTAGTAGCATGACTTTAATTTTCAATTAGAAATATCGTCCCATTGGAAGAATAAAGTGTTATAATCACATGTGTCAAAATTCATATTATGGTAAATTCGTCATCCTTATAATGTAAACTATCGATTAATACTATTTTTATATATTTTTATCAATTAATTCAAAAGATACAATGCTCGAATAAAGTTTTATCCGCGCCGACTACGTAAAATAACTATGCATGATCACATACAACAATATTCTCCGCCTTGCTCCTGCGCAATTAGCTGCGCGTGCCGTGTCGCTTCATCCTAAGTAACGTTGTTCGACGAAGTAGCAGCGAGTGGTGTTTGTTACAATGAATACCCAAAATTTGATAAAATATGCTGTATATAATGGTTTGATACAATTTACACTACGTTTTATAAATTTCCAACAAAGACAGTATTTATAATCACATAAAACATTTTTTTACGAAATACCAAAGCTTACTTATTAGATCTTAAATCTGAACTAAATACTTTAATAATAACTTATATAACATAACGGTATCTAATAGGACTTGTCTTATTTTTTCCCCTATTTTTCCAGTTTCTTATAAACCTAGTACATTTTACTACGTAAAATTTTATATTTTTTTCGTCCGCAAGTACGCATAAAACATTATTCTACAAAAAAAATAATTAAAGTGAGTGCCGTATATGCAAATGACACTTCTTTTTACCAACGGTTTTATTATAAAACAATATTCGAAATCTTAAAATTGCTATAAAATGGTTAAATTTAATTTAAAATATGAACAGCTTATTCAATAATCTATTAACAACTAAATGTACTAGGTAGGTATAGCAAAAAAGTAACTAATGTAAGTTTACATTGAAAACACCAATGGACCTAAACACAAGAGTGCACGCCTCCCTTTTTGACATGTTTGCTTTTTGTATTAGAAAAATCGAAATAGTTTATTTTTTAAACTCCCAGTTTATAGAAAAAAAAAAAAATTAAACAGTGACACGTGAAAAAGTGAGTGCGTACTACCACAGTAGACCACTCGAGCGCTCATCAAATTACATATATCTAAGTTATGTACATACATTTACTTTACTAATTTTTTTTAAACTATTATGTTATGCATATACTCCTTGTTACTTTTACAGAATCAAAGGAAAAATAATTATATCCAATATAATTTTATTATTAAATTTTTTCAATGATGATTTCTCAAACGATGGGGAAAGAGCAGGTCAGGCTCAATTGGTGAGTTTGTGGTACCAGTGGAATAGACGATCTTTGAGTTAGAATTTGCATTAAATAGGGAATATGAAATAAAGTACACCACCAAGACGAAAAACAGATGTTTGAATCAGGATACACCAAAGAATTGCAATTTTATTTATACATATTATAACGAGCAAGCGACGCAATACGCTACAAAACTATAGTTAAAACTACATGAGATAAGTACTGCAACAGCACTGTCGTAGAAGACGATTACAGAGACCGCCACAAAAATTAAAAAAAGGTAATCGTAGAAGACATGATCACTAGCGGTTGTGACCAAGTGAACTCATTTGCATCTATCCAATCACATTATTTAAGTAAAACACGACGTAATGATATCTAGACGGTATTGTCCGAATGTACAAATTTCAACAGAGTTGCACTCAAATAGGTTCAGTATTTTAAGCCATAGATTGTCCCAGTGATTGTTTCAGTGCCAGTGAACCGTAAACCAAATTTCAATCAAATACGTTCAGTGGTTTAAAAGATAGAGTCCTGAGATATAGCACATATTCTAATTCTGGGACTTCCGGGTTATTACTTTGGTACTAATAATGTGGCCTGATTTGTACCGGTAAGACGCTACTTCTAATACTATTACCTAAAGGAGACGGGCAAACATTCATGGTAAATTTGACCTCGATGGACTAAAAATTACTTAAAACAAATGAAATGCTACGGGTTTTCAAGGACTAATACTACTATGTAACTGCATTAGGATCAGGGATTTTCTAATTCAATTAAATGAATACGTTATTTTAATGGATTAGCTTCTGCCCAAGGCTTCGTTCGCGCTCTTTTAAAGGATTGGGGATAGGAATTCAAAAGAATACAAAAGCATTTGCTTTTACAGTTTTCTATTAGTAGTCAATAGATTAAGCAATATTTATGGTTGATTTTTCACAAATCGGGTTACATTTTCGAAATTTTAACACGGTTCCTATCTTTTTCTTATAAGGGGTGTAGTATGTAAGATTCCAACGCTAAAAGAATTTTTGAAATCCGTTCCGTAGTTTCGGAGCCTTTTTCAATTCAAACAAACAAAAATTTAAATCTTTCCTCTTTAGTAGACTAGTAGTTAGTATATTGTTTGTTCTTTAGTTTAGTGTTTTCATAATTGTTTTCTATGTTTGAGACTAATTTTTTATTTTTAATATTTTTTTAATATATTCACAATGGTGCCATAATTATTTATTGTGTTTTTATTATTAAGCTAACTTTATAT